AGATTCCTGCATAAAGCCGATGTGGTTATCAATGAATACTCCATTGTTAGCATATTTTCAAATGCTCACAAGCCTCCAATAAGCTTTCCACCCATTTCCATTTCCACTGTTTCTTCAGATAACCCATTTCCAATTTTCCATTTTAGCTTTCCACATAATAATCTTCAAGAAAATGTCGTCATTGACAAAGATGACTAATCTCTCCAGAGCTCTTATATATTTCCCTGGGTTTCCTCTTTTGCCATGTTCCCAAACCTGTCTTCTTTTTCAAGATAAAACTATTCAAGATTACAAACATAGTTTGGCAAAACAGGAAACAATGGGTTTATGTTTAAACTTGGCATTAATCAGCTAAGCTATTCTTCCATCTTTTCCTTGAGACTTACGATTTGCTTATGTATTTTCAATACCTTGCTTTATTGTTTCTTTCATGGAGATTTCCCTTCTTCCAAAATTACTATTACTGCCTACAGGAATATTATTACAACCCGATTTTTAGATATGACCACAGAAACACCCATTTCTAAATAGAGTTTAGAAAGTAGACACTTACAAATCAATATTTTCTTCTATTTTATTTCAGTTCTACTCCTCAGAATTTTATTAGTTCATCCTTAATGCTAATTTGACAGAGACTGCCTAATCTACCTTTGTCGTGGTCTTACAAGATGCATCACACGAGCGTTCAAATTGGTTCTCTCAGCAATTGATGCTAAAGGTTGCGCTTGTGAATATCTCAAAAGCAATCTAATGATGATCTTTGCTAAGATGAAGGACATACGAATTTCCTTTCACATGTGGCTACATCCCTTGAAACTCCTGGTTTAAACACAGTCTATTTCCGAGATACAGAGAATAGCCTAAAAGGCAGTGAAATGGCAAAGAATAAAGTGCTGCAGATAAGTGAAGGAAGAGAATTGCAGTGATTGAAAGAAGTATGTACCAGGCTGATGTAACACTGGTTCCACGTAATGGGAAAACATGGCATTGAGCCTGACTAGTCCTGAGAGAGCTCAGGAATGAAAGCTTGACCCAAACCATAAACCAGCATAAAAGCAGTTTAAAAAAAAGGGAGGAAAAAAAGATTGTTAAGTCTTGACCAAGTCAATCGCAGTGACATACAGCAACACTGAAAACTGACAAAGTCTCCATTAACATATAGTCAATGACTTTTATAAAACACAGACAGGCCCTCAAAACCAAGGGTGTGAGCTGATTAAACGCTTAAAAGAACTTGCATGCAACGTTATGAAATTATTCAAACCCAAACAACATACAGAGGAAAACAAAACATATGCCTCATTTTTAGCCCATGACAGAATACACTGGAGTATATCAACGGAAAGGTCTTCTGGGTGGTCTTTTGCGGTCTAGTTTAGAGTTCAAGCATACGCACTGCTAAATTGCAGAGAGAAAAGTCCATGTGCAAGCGCAGACCCTTAGCGTTTACTTGTGGAGTGCCAAAACCTTGAAATGACCTCTCAGTGGCAATTAAACACTCCCCCAGTTTGACACGGTACTAGAGTATATGACAAATCCAGTACTAATGTGCTGTAGAAATTCTGGATCAACAAAAGAGTCTGGAGTGGGCCCTTTAAGTTTGAGTGGTAGGAATTAAAAAAATACTCCAAAACATTTGTGGAGAGGACATTCACATCTTCTCCACATAAGAGAAGATGGTTTAGGGATAACTTTATCTTATTCTCTCCTGTCAAATTACTACACTGATCATTCCAGCAGTTCTATGCGCATACACTGCACCTGTAAGTAAAGGAAACTCCCAAGTCTTTAGTATTGTTGAGGTTATGATTCCACCAACATATTTTCTGTTAACCTAAGAGCGTTTAAACTCCTGTTTTAAACAACAAGGAGTTTTCATAGATCAAGCTCAAGTTTTGAAATAGCTAAGCTAAAGTTCATAACATTGTATTTTTCATTTGCCTTCTCCTTACTAGACAGCATCATGTGAAAGAAACTAAAGAAAACGTCTCCTCTTTTATTTGATGGAAGGATTAAAAACACTGAGTGGGGAAATTGGATATCTCATAAGAGATACTTAAACAAGAAAAAAAAAAGATAATTTTTTCTCAGTCAAAAAGCACAGGCAGGATTTTCTACTTAAAGCATCTAAGTAGTTTTCAAGACAATACTGAGAAAGTAATAACTTCCAAAATGGCAAAGTACTTCTAAAGCAGTTAGATATGTTCTGAGAGAGAGAAAAACACTTGCTGGATACTCTGACATTTAAGGATACTTACTAATCTAGGAATCAAGATCAAAAATCTGCATTTAGTATAATAAATAAAACCACCCTGCTTGATACTAAAAAAATACTAAGTTGAACGAGTAGAAGAAAAACGTTTTTTTTTTTAAGGATCAAATATACTTTAATACATTTAAGATAAACTACTAAAATACACATAGCCCTCAGCATGTAATTCTGACTCTTGCTGTGAGCGCAGCAGAGACTGCCTGCCCTTATAGCCAGCCACCTGGGTCAGTGTGAGCACTCCTGAGACGATCAGCAGTTAACTGCAGCATAAAATTCATAAGCCTTTGACCCTGATCAAGCCTTCCAGATGAAATATTCAAGTAGGATTATTTATGGTGTTTAAGTACACACCAGTGCCTTTTTCTCCATAAATGTTTAGGGATTTTTCTTCCCCAGCAGGGCTAGCACTGATCCATTTGAGTTGTTTTGCAGAACAAGTGCTAAGAGAACATATAAGAGACCCCCGGATATTCAAAACTGCCCCATTATAATTTTGGAAAGTAAAAAGTTACAAGGACAAAATATAAAGGTAAAACAGATTCTTAAATCAAGGTGCTATAATCATACCCACCTTTCTAAATACATGGTCTTTTTCTCTGAGCCTTATCTGGCTCAGAACTTCCAAAAATTCCCATTTTTGTCTGCTTTAGGCTCACTTCAGGATGTCTTTTCGAATACTTCAGCCCAACTGTTAATGTGGCTTTCTAGTTCCATGATGACAGTCACAAATACGTGAATACCAACATCTATCTACAAAAATTCATCTTACTACTGTAAACCAGAAAATTTATAGAACAGTTTTGTACATACCAATACACCATTGTCACATGTCCAATCACTTGGATTAGAGTCAAGTTTACTGACACACACTATAAATCTGTCTGGAAACACACGTAGGTCTATACAAAAAGAATTGAAAAGAAGATTACAAAAATTACAGCCATATTCAAACCCACACATACTGTCAACATATACAGCTGTTATTTTAGTAAACAAAATAACTGAGATTTTAAAATGCACACTAACCCACTTTATGCACTCTAGTAGTTTCTTACTTACTCTCTTCAGCATCCCATCCCTCCTTTTGTTTTGTTTTTTTAAACCATTCCAAATAAAGAATAGAAATCAGTAAGTCAGAGTAAGTTAGTTCCCAAGAGGATGGTCATGGCTGCAAATTACTCCACCTGCACCCCTGGACAAATACACCAGACAGAATCAACAGACAAAGTGATTTCTTTTGTGCTCTTCTGGTGATGAGTCCTTTCATCGCAAAAGCTGTAAATTACATTTGGAATACAGCACAACATATTCAGCCAGGATTTGGCATAAAAACTCAGTGTAAGGCTAAGTTTTTCAGACTCTGACTCCAGCAAGTTTTGAAGTCATTAAACAAATTGGTTAACTGCTACTGAATTACAGATTTTGCTCAAGATCACATGGTTTGTTTTGAAGACAACAAAGCTTCTAGTTACAAAGGATCAAAAATTGAAAGGTTCTCAGAACAGACCAGACCAAATTTTATTCAGTACCTAGCAATGCTGTGAAGAGAGCATAGCTGGGTTATTTTATTATTTTACCTATTAGATTATTTCCAGATTACTATCTTCATATTTTCAGCTCAGATTTTTTTGCTGTTGTTCTTTGGTTTGGTTTGATTTTACAAAACAGAGCTACTTAAAGTTTGTTATACTTCAAAGCCAAGCCATTAACACCCTACTTCCTGGGACAAGAAAGAGATGAGAGGTGCCAAAAAAAACACGAAGTTGACCTTATTTTCTGGTGGAGTATCTCCTCACAACGAATTGAGTATACGCTTGATGTGCCAGTGACAATCAGGTCATCCATATGGGTGCTTGCCTCTCTATAAGGTACTGCTGCCCCACTAACAGCCTATCTCCATTAGCATCTGACAAACCCTTCTGAGTGTGTACCAGCAGTGACTTTTATTGAGTCATTACAGTGAAAGATGGGGATGCTGAAACAGATTTGCCACTGGCTGAAAAAGCTTACACAGAGACCTGAGATGCATCTGTATGGCACAACAGCTTGCTTAGCCACTATAACTTGATGATGAACACGAGCATTTCATAATCCTTTCAGAAATATTAACTCTGTTAGCAAAACTGTGTCCAAGACTATTCTATCTCTGCTTGTACCCTCCTGAAAAGCCACCTGCAAAGACCTAGTACAATGACTTTCAAACTTAAGCAGTCTATGGACATCTTCCAAATGGGCTGGACAAAAGAAAAGCTGGACAACTGTTGCTAGGACTGAACCTAGTACGTGGGATTCCACTAACAGCCTCATAGGTAAGTTTACTTTAGACATTGAGTGAGCATCACTGATGAAAGTATGCAATGTTCTTCTTCTGTTAGGCTCAACATCTGGGTTTTGTTTGTGAAGGACTAGGTGTATCTTACAGAAAGGAAACGCTGGTGCCAAATGATTTAATTTTTTTTTTAGTATACATGCCTATTTTTCTATTTATTGGGAGCGAAACCCAACAAAAAAAAAAGAAGTTCCTTTCATGTTAGGAACGTCATATGGAAGCAAAGTTTTGACTGCAGGATCAGACCCTCTCTTTTTGGCAGCACTAGTAGGGCAAGTTCATTCCAGTTGGACATTTTTATTGTTACATTTTGTTACGATCTCACTTGCTGGCTAAGAAAATGAAAGTGTCTTTAGGTATTCATTTGATTCAATTTGGAGGTCGGGAGAAGGAATTTGAGGGAGTATTTTAAACCCATACTCCGATCACTTCAACCAATATGGACTTAGAAAACAACTTGTTGGCATTTCAAGAGAGATTTAAACATTTATGAATATAATGATTTCCTAGAAAAATAACAAATTCTTTTAAAATATCCATTCAAGTATTCACTATTTTTAAGGGCACCTAACTGATTTTGCCTTTTTTTTGATATAAAAAGGTCAACACAAAGGGCAGTGATTGTTATAGCTCCTTTTCATTGCTGGTGGCAGGACAGGATTGATATCACTTCCTTACGGAGCATCTCGGCTTGAGAAAACACAAAGAAAAGATCTGGTCCAATGAGATCACCTGTGTAAAGGTTTTATAGCACTGAGGTGAATGAAAGCCTTTTCTTGCATACACTTGTACGGTACACTTGATGTCACAAGACGCTCGAGCAATAATGAAGTGATTCATACTGCAACCTCTGGTTGATTCACCCTGCAGAGTCAGTAAAGTGCTGAGTCTCATCATACTTACAGAATTTGGTGTGGCTTAGCTGATTGTCCTGGGGCAAGGCATACACAAATTTAAAATTCAGCTTAAAAAAAAAGCCATCATATGTTAAGAAACTTCTCCTTTTTTGTAGGAAAAATCCTCTGGGGGAAAAAAAAAAAGCAATCAAAACCAAGCTCTGAAAGGTATTTTGAATCAGGAGACCAAAATCTGACGAAGTATTAGTTCATGTTCCCTTTTTTCTGTCTCAGAAATGCAAAATTCTAAGTAACACTATAAGAAACTGATTTCTTACCACGATAACGTTTCCCTACAGCA